GAGAGTTCAGCGCTCAAGATGTGCATAATCACATCACATCGCAATCACACACAAAACAAAAACTTCCAACTGATCAACAGAAAAGCATACATTCACAGTCAAGAACTCGCATGCATCTTGACATAATGACCCCATTCCCTGATTTACTTGCAGTTCTGGTTTCTAGAAAGCAGACAATAAAACCTATTTTTAGACAGTTCGCAACCATGCCATGTGGCCATGTCCAGGCTAACTACCACTCCATCCCCTTCCAACCATACAGGTGCCAAATCCATCTTGGCCCTTTGGCCCAACAGTACAATCTCTTAGAGTGATGGGAGTGCCTGTTGTAGTATTTTTAGCTGAGTTATGTTCTTAGTGATATCTCTTTTGTCTTCCATCAAACGTCTGGATGGGGTATTAAAGAAACTTTTTTGCTATTCTTGGAAAGAAAACCCTGTTTTCAACTGATTGAATCAAATAGTTTATAGATCATTTGGAATTATTTTGACCAGACGTCACACCTAAACAATGAACACCCAGATGGGTTCAGGCAGAGACACTGGTTCAGGTTGGGCCGATCTGTGTTCGGCGCCCTCGGTGACGTCAGACGTAGGGAACGAAAGACGCGGGGAGATCTTTGCGACTGGCAACGGGAGGCTTACCTGCCCTCCTCCCACTAGCCTAATTATAGAAACTTTAACTAAAGACTGGCGTACTTAGGAATAAGAGATTGGTTTGAAAAAAATATTGTGATATTTTGTTAAGTTTTGGAACATCGTATTCCCTTTTTTGAAAATCCTTTCTCCATTTCAAAGGGTGGCGCCATGGCGCCATTTGCGCTTGGAGAGCCACGCCACTGATACTGACAGATGTACACATACACATAGATACACACACATACACACTGACAGACATCCATACACAAACACACACACACACACACACACACACACACACACACACACACAAACAAACACATAAATACAAACACGCATGTTTTATATATATATTATATTTTATCAGGTACTCAACACAAATTTTCCTCACTTCACCCAGGTATGAATGGGCACCCGTCTATAGACAGCGAAAGACTTTGTCAGTATATTAGTGTTTTAGTGCCTGTAAAATGGCAGTTTGCACTGTATTACTCTCAGGAAGTTGAAGCTGTTACAGAATGCCATCAGGTCTGCTGGGATAATAATATAGGTTGTAAAGCTCATAGATCCTGTTGTTGAGCGGGAATTTGCGCTATATAATAATATATAAATGCTGTCTATCTATGGATCTTTTATTATTATAATTATAATTGTTATTATTATCATTACTATTATTATCATTATCATTATTGTTATTATTTTTATTA